CTAAATACCATAAATTATACTTATAAGTAAAGTTGTAGCTTATATTTAGAGCTACAAATCGGTATATGATACTATATACCGATCTTTAATCAAACTCGAACCAGACTCGAACTTGTATAACAATTCAGTTCGAACTTCGAATCTTTCTTGAACTCAAGCCAAAGTCCGGTTCAGTTCAGTTCATAGGAACACTAGTCTAATAGATAATTTGGATTGAATTTTGAGTGTCATACAAGTTACAAGAAAAATGATCTGTGACTCAATGATGAGATAATGATCTCTTGCTGAATACAAGAGAAATAAGACAAAAGAAAATTTATCAGAGTCTGGAAGATCACAAGCTATTAACAAGTAAGAAAAAGAATACACATTTACAAAAAGCCAAAAAAAATAATCTGAACCATTTCATAATATTGTCAACAAAAAATCTTTGTAAAAATTTTACTTGAAGATTTTTTAAAATAATTTCATCCTTTTTTATAATATATTATGCTCATTAATTTGAAAAAATATGATGTTTCAGCTTAACTCTAATTCTAACTTTAATTCTAATTCTAAAAAGATCACAAAATAGAAATATTAATAATTATGAATCAATTAATATATTCTTCCAGATCTGGCTTCATAAAAAATATCTAGAAAATATTGCAAAATAATATTTTAAAATGTAAAAGCTTTTTAAAAATTGTAAACATGTTCTAAAGAAAGTGTAGTTAAAATATAATATGTTAGTTTGGGGTAGGATGTAAGCTCGATGCCATAAGAAATCAAGACGATATTGAAGTCATATAGAGAGTGGATAATATATTAGTTAATGGTAAAAAAAATTTTTATGTATATAAAGCAGAAATGAAATAAATCAAAAATTTCATTTTTTAAAAAAATCAGACATTACTTTTTGCAGCAACTGTACATTTAAAATATGATTTACACTAAAAAAATTTTTTAGTACAATATTTATATTATTTAATAATATTATTATGATTGAAATTTGAGATCTTGATATAACAAACACATATTTCTTTAACAAAAATCTTATTATAACAACATCAAAGCTTGCATATAAGTGACTTTGAATCATATTGTGCCAAACAAAATACTGTTATTGAATTTATAGATTTTGTATTATATTATATCAAACAAAACATTATTATTAAATTTATTAATTTTGATTAAGTATTTTGATTTTTGATATTTTGAATTTTTGATATTTTGATTTTATTATTGATATTTCTCATTCATGAAAAGAATAAAGTGAAAGAATCTTTGTTATTTTGTTATTACTAATTGTATTGTCTTAGTTTTGGAAAGCTTTATACAAGTACAAAAAATTAATATTTCAAATTCTCTTTATTATTTTATTTTCTCATTATTTTATAATTTCTCTTTTCTTTTTTGATTTTTACTCTTTCACAACTTTCACATATTTTTATTGAATTATTACAATTTTCATAGAAATTGGTATAAAACTTAAATATCACTCTTTTCTTTAGTATTTAACTTAATTATTTAATTTTCTCTTCCAATTCAGGTTCAAGTTTGTAAGCTAATTTAATGATTAGTGAACAAGCTTGTAACAATAGTTAACCCTTTTTATAATTATGTTATCAGATTCAATAGTAATTTTTTTCATGAATATGATTATGATAGGATTTTATAATAAATATATTTATAGTAAAATTCTTTTATTATAGCTAATTCTTGAAAAAAGAATGATTATAACATAATTTTTATATAATATAACTATAAAGAGAATGATTATAGAGAATAATTATAGAGGAGTTTAATTACAATCAGTCAGTCAATTTTTTGTTATCAATAAAGAACACTATAATTAACTGGACTATACAATAATGAAAATTAATATCAGAATAACTTTTCAAAATTAAATATCGATATCGATATAGTAATATAAATAATTCATAAACTCGGGTGATAAATGTTTCAATTTTAAACCAATAGAATTGAAAATTTCCTTGAAACAAAGTCAATTTTTGATTGGGATAAAAATTCTCAAATACGGTCTAACAGTAAGTAATTCAGTAAATGATAAATGATATACTTGATGTGGCTATTTACATTGTTTGTTAATGGAAATTCCGGAGTTTAACCCATAACTTTATGCATGTGGCTCATTATTATCGATATACAATATATGCTAACTCTAAATATATATACAGTAAGTTCGAGTAAGTTCTACTGGGTCACACATATAAATACGCCCAATGAAAAATAATGCATTTCGCGTCGTCATTAGTTGCTTTCAATTAATCTTGCACAAAATCAAACGATGCTTAAGAAATTATTCTCAGGTTTTCCAAATAACTCGGAACCACAGTTTCCGAAAACTATTGAAGGGTTTGGTTACAAATTCAATGAAAATGGTGAACTGAGAAATATTGAGACAAGTAAGTGAGCAAGCATTATGCTACGCATTTGCATATAGTAGCTAAATCTTTTTCATTTCATTTTTATTTGAATTACTTTCAAAGACGAAAGATTTGTATTTCGCGTCAAACCCGACGATTATCACTACAACCAAGGTCATTATGAAGCTTTAGGAGGTAAAATGATACAACCTTATTGCATGAAATTGATTCGATTATCTATCACGGTCGATCGATCGATCACTCATTTGAATTAAATATTACATTGAATTTCTTAAGAGGCGATTGGTGAATACGTTGAAGATTTACTTGTCTCGCAATTCCGTCTCAAGCGGCAAGAAATTCCTCTTAACGATGAACAGCCAAAGAGCAGAATCTATGTTAGGTTGGTGTAGTGAAACTTTGATTTTATCAATTCATTTCTTTTAACTAATTGTTTTGTAGTGAGGATTATAACGAAAATTCGACATTACTCTTGCTTATGCAAGGTAGTGGTGTAGTACGTGCTGGACAATGGGCTCGTCAAGGTTAGTTAAAGCAACTTTCAATTGATGTCTTTGATTATTCGTTTCGTTTACTCTATTACTAAATTTTTATTGTTTTATATGTTTATAGTTATTATCAATGATTCACTCGAGGTTAGAATCTAATTAGTTAAATTAGTTAACATTGCATTCATTGATCACCGTAATTTTGTGTGTATTTTATGGAGTTAGCTCGGTACAATGTTTCCATATATTATAAAAGCTCAAGAATTAGGCTGGGGAATCCTAATATTTAATCCAAATGAAAATTTTGGAGATGTTATACGTGATGGAGAAGTAAGTGGACTCACGTTGAGATTTTTCTACTACTATTTCTTTTTTATTAAATGATCTTATTTCTCTATCTCCTCTGTTTCCCAAAATCAAATAATTAGGTTGATCGCCGTCCTATACCAGGATCGGAGACGCCACAACAGCACACACTTTATGTGTGGGACCATTTCATAAGGCATTATTTTTATTAATGTGATAAATCATCATTGTGATTTGATGAATCGAATTCTAAACGCGTGCACACGATTTTTAATGTTTGTAGGTCTGCTAAAGCTGAAAAGGTCTTGATGGTTGCTCATAGTTTTGGTGGAATTAGTACGACAGCATTATTGGATGAAAAAAGTACGTGAATGCATGTTTGTTTTGACATCCAGAGAATGTTTTTGTTAAATAATCTTATTTGATATATTATAAATTCAGATGAAGAATTTAAATCTCGTGTAAAAGTGGTGGCATTCACTGATAGTGTACACAGTGCCGGAATGGTCCCACGACACTCGCAGAAATGGTTCAAAGAAAATACGTGTAACTGGATTAAATCCGATCGTCCGTTTGATACGCCAATAAAAGAGGCCTATCGGTATTTTGGGTGTAAATGTTTTTCAGCAGGTGAATTTTGTTGTGACAAATTGGTTATTTCTATTATATTGTTACTTGAGATATTATTGTACTTTTTTCATTAACACAAAATTTTATTTATTTTATTTCATTAAGGACACGTCAAGCACGAATTTACCTCTGGTATGGCTATCGAATCGGTCTTTGAATTTCTGAAATGGGGACTTGAGAAAGGCGAAAATAACAAAACTGTCAATGGAGATAGGGGATCAGGAAAGTTTGACGCTGATGCTGCTTCCGATAATAACGAATTGAAATCTGATGATGAGGAAGAGGCGAAAAAGAAGAAAAAGGATAAGAAGGATAATACAGAAACCGAAGACCCGATGGAGGAAGAGACGGAAAAGAAAAACGATAAGAAGGATAATACAGAAACAGAAGACCCGATGGAGGAAGATGCGGAAACGAAGGAAAAGAATAAGAAAGATAATACAGAAACCGAAGACCCGATGGAGGAAGATGGCGATCTGTCAAAAAGCACGCTTGAATCTGATAACGTAAAGCTAAAATCTTCTGATACAAAAGATAATGATAACTCTTTGAAAACATCACCAGAATCGGCTGTCGAAAAAGAAACGATAAATAAACAAAAAGAGAAAGACGAAGGGGAAACGACACCCAAACCAAATTCCGAAGGTATCACGCCTTCAAATAGTTCGCCTACAGATAAATCATTAACGATATCTGGAAACGAAGTCTCAAATTCAATTGTTGATGGTGGTGCTGCTCCAGAATCAACAGCAAAACAAGCAGAAGTATCTCTCACAACAGAATCATCATCTTCATCCTTACTCGAAACAAATACCAACGGTGAAGAGACAAAAAATCATAAAAACCCTGAAGCTCCGACCAAACTTCAAAATGAAAATGTGAATGATATCACCAATGAAGAAGACAGTAATATTAACAGTCTTATGGAAAGTTCGGCAGTTGATCTTAAAGAAAGTAGCATTTACTCATTTGAATTTGATCAAAAAGCAAGCAGTATTCATTCCTTCGAGATGGTTGGCGAGGAAAAAGATGAAAAGGAAGAAAAGCAAAATAATAATGAGCATGAATGGGAGATTTTAGATGAGGATAAATAACATGAATAATAATAATAATATTAATATTAATAATAGCAATAGAAAGAATAATAATGTATTTGTATCATTGAGAATGGCGAAATAGTAGTTTTCATTAATTCTTGTTACCTCATCTGTTAATTCATTCGTTTATTTCGTTTGTACTATTTTTGTTTTTTGATTTCACTTTTCAATTCTACAAAATAATAATAATGTTCAGACATACAGAGGATCATTGTCGAGTGATTCACGATATTTTTCTAGATGTTCGTCATATGATACTGATGGCAAAATTTGTTTGGGTAACATTAAAATTTGATTTTGGTCAGCATTATTGTAATCATGTGATTATATGGAAAATGATTAATAGATTGGGATTATCGAACATAACCCAAATTTATATTAGTCAAATCCTTTTTAGTCACACCTCTTAAAAGTCTCACCTAAAAAAAGATGGAAAGTCACAACCCTCATTAATCACCAAATTTTGAAGACAAGACTTATCCCAAAAAATTTATTGGTTATCGTTATAAGCGAATGTCCTCTTAATTTGTGCTAGTGTCTTGCATTGATTTTCCCGATTCTTCCTTGTCATTGTTTTAGTTTCCTTTTTGCGTGATGGTTAAATGGTTTATTTGGTTAGGATCAATGATTCATTGGGAATAACCACAATCGCGTAATTTTCACTTTAGATCACAGCGATTCCCTATGTTGTGACTGTATAGAGGGTCACTTTTTTTGCATAAATAGACTTTCGAAAAAAAAGTAAAAATATATTAAAAATGTTATTATTATTTGTATGCGCTTTAATACCACTGTCTATATACTTGCTTAGATCTCAATTCTTTGCGTTCATGATTCCACGAGTAACGAAAGATGATGAGACACCTTCCTCATTCAAACAATCCTCGTCACCACAACCTCCAAAACCCTATAACATTAATAGTAGTAATTACAATAACTTTTATAACAATCCCAATAACTCATCGCTTAAATCCGTTATCGTTCCGCCACCATATAAAGCCGACTCTGCGGGAAAGATGATACTAGAGCCCAGATTCGGAGGTCTCTTATGGAACCTTACTAGCCGCCTTTGCATGATGTCGTGTTCGCTAATTGCGAAATTTTTTCTGAGATTTTGCACCAAATCGACTACTGTCTATAATAAGGAACCATTTGTTAGAGTGTTAATGGATCCTAATAGAACGCGTCCTATTCTTACAGGTACATATTGGATTAATGAATTGTTGAATTAATGAATAATTTAGTCTAATTATTTTTTGTAATTTTTATCTTGGGTATTTGACCAATAGTTGCTAATCATCAATCAACGTGAGTTTTTTCCTTTTGATTTTTTTTTAATTTATAAAATTAAAAATACTGATTCAAAAAATTTAATTTAGTGTAGATGATCCGCTATTATGGGGTAGTCTTCCATTTTGCACAACAAAATCAACGAGAACTGTACGATGGACACTTGGCGCTCAAGAAATATGCTTCACTAGCAAGTAAGTGAACTAAATCTATGAATTTTAATTATTAATCAATTATTTATATATGACGGACACTAACAATAAAATTCAAATATGTTAGTTTTCTTTCGCACTTTTTTGCACTTGGTCAAGTTGTGCCTACTGTTCGCGGTGCAGGAATTTATCAACCAGCAATGAATTTTGCACTTGATAAACTTAACGAAAAGGAAGGAAATTGGGTAATTATTTTCTTGAACTTATTTGGATGAGATTTGTTTATATTTATAGTTAACATAAATAAATATTTTACAGGTTCATATATTTCCCGAAGGAAAAATCAATCAAACATCTGCATTGATTCCATTCAGATGGGGAGTTGGACGTCTAATGATGGAAGCAAAAAATCCTCCCATTGTCGTACCGTTATGGCATAAAGGTGAATAAACAATTAAAAATTTTGGTACCTTATACTTGTTATCCGAATTCGTTTACCTAACTAAAAACACAATTACAGGTCTAGAAGAGATAATGCCAGAAGATCGAGACAACCCATTTGTTCCTATTCTTTGGCAGAAAGTCGCGATTGCATTCGGCGAACCAATCGATCTCAAAGACATTCTCGCTGAATTTCACGAAGGAAAAGCTGAAGAAGTTGCGACTCGTATTAAAATTTCTGATGTGATATTTGGCGCGTTGAATGATCTTAAGAAGAAGGCTGAGGCTTTGGAGGCTGGAAAGGACGTTGACAAGACATAATAATAATAATAATTATTATTATTGAGGAATCGTTTATCTTTTTTACAATACAGTATATAATACGGTATTATATAACACACACTCATCATTCATTCTTTTCAAATTGTTTTTTATTGCATTTTTAGATTATTTACACGTTAATTTTAAATAAACCAAGTTAGATAGCAAATGGAAGAGGTTTTATCTATATTATCATTTAATTTTACGAAATTTCTTTTTTGTATAATATTTTTACTTTTAAAGATTCATCATATACCGTATTACTAGACTATAATAAATGGTTGGTTTTTTTCATTATTTTTGATTCTAGATTAATTACGAGGTTTAATCATTAAAATCAAAAATATAATTAACATTGAAAAATTCAATGATACGTATGCAGATAAATTTTTGGCATAAAAAAGAAAATGAGTTTTCAAATGCGTTTCAGCCAATAAAGAAAAGTAAACAAATTCATTTATTCTTTCCTTTTATGTTAGTTTTTTTCCAGGCTACAGTTCTCTCCCGAATTCTTGGTGGTCTTTTGGTTTTAGGCTTATAGATTCCGGATTTTTTATGCGAATTTACACCACCACCTCTTCCGACTTCTTTTCCTCCTTTTCTTTTTATGAGTTTATGTTTGTTTTTTGTGATATTATTATTATTAGGGCTGATGGAAGAGTATCTAGTGACACGAATTGTACGGGTACCGATTTTCGAGAGGTGAAGGTTTAGTGATAGGCTGACTGATGCACGTTCCTAAAGAACATTATAGATTTAGCGAACAGGATAATAATAATATATTCACTATTTTTCGAATTTTATTACATTCAAACAACACCAACCTTAAATTGAACATACGCAAACCCTTTTCCAACATTAGTTTTCTTATCACGAACAATTCTCACACTTTCAATCTCGCCACAATCTTTGAAATGATGCCATAATTGTTCTTCTTGCGCGTCGAATGCTAATGCGCCAATAAAGATTGTCCTTTTTCGGTCGTATGTCTTTGTTTATGCATAGTTTGTTGATTAAATGGATGGACTAATAATTTATTGAAATGTATTGGATTGATTACCTTTGGATTTGCCACAGAATCCACGCGTAGATGTTTATCAAGAAATAATTGCGCATTCATAGATAACGCATTTACTGTTGATTCTTTTTCTTGGTAGACAACATAAGCATTTAGAATGTCTCGCTCTGGATGTAATTTTCCTAATTTGAATGCTATTTTTCGTGGTAATGGTTCTGAAAATGCCTTTTTTAATTAGAAAATAGAGTTAGTTTGTTAATAAAAATTTAGGTCAAATGAATTAATGGATGATTAAAAAATACTCACTATAGATCGAAATCGAATACTCAAAATTTTGCCAAACTCTGAAAATTTCTTTTTCAAGACCCGATAATTGTGCTTTTTATTTAACGAAATTAATAATTATATAAAAATTCAGAATCACATAACTGGAAAAGTTATCTTTACCTTTTCAATTACGCTCACAGGTAAATTACCAACAAAAATAGTTTTTTCTTTTTCTTCGGCTTCTTTTTTCTTAATTGAGCTATCGTCATCATCGTTATCAGAATCATCTTCTGCTACATCTTTTTTTTCGTTATTATTTATTTGGGTATTAACATCCTCACTACTTTCTTCTTGACTAACATTATCCTCGTCATTATGCTCACTTATTTTATCACTATTTTGTTTTTCTTCCTCTTCTTTTTCAATATTACTTTTTTCTCCTAATGCATTTTGTTCTTTCGCTTTCTTACTCGTTTTGATTCTTTTTTCCTGTTTATTTTTATCGTCATTACTGTTTTTTGATATTTTTGTTCGCTTACGTTTCAGACTGCTTGCTTCCTTATTATTATTATTATTAGTCTGTGCAACTAGATCAATTTCACGAGTACTATTTGAAGACGATGACATTAAACTTGACTTTTTTTTATATAAACAAAAAATTAGAAGATTTATGTTTAAAATATTCGCCAGTTACCATCATAAAAATTTAATTTCGGCGAGGCTTACTTCTTTTTCTGTCTCTTTCTCCTTGTCAAAATTAATATTTCTATGTTGATCATTTTGTTTTTTCAATCTTGTCGACTCGTATTTCTCTTCGATAGTTAAATCCACTTTACTGCGCCTAGTGTTACTAATATTATTAGTATGGTTTCGAGTCTTCTTTTTTGCTAATGATTCATTCTTTCTATCTTTATCAATACGATTGATCTCTTTCCGATTTTTGGTGATTGCGTTGTTCTTACTATTAAGTTTATCAGAAATATTATTATGATCAGATGCCACTTCATTTTTGAGAGTTATTGATGGTGATTGTGGTGGTGGTATCTGACAAGGACCTGCCTAAATCATCAAAGTAGCAAAAGATCTTGAATCAACATCTCGAAAATATTTATCTCCACAATAATAAAGAGCCTAATTTATACTAGACATACACTGCTCTTAAACAACGCATCAAGCCCTGCATCAATAAGCGAGCTATGATTATTTTTCTTGTTATTTTTGATCCCCAGAAACGACTGGGATAACGCGCCAGGGACGTAATCGTTCATTTAGTAATTATCGTTATAGTATGTGGAGATGTCAAAAATTTGGTTAATCTAGAGTCACGGGGAATGAAATTTTATGTAATATCATGTGATATTATAGTCATATTTTATTGGATAAACATTTATAGAGACCAAATGCAAGCAAACAAAGCAGATAAAAATGTAGAAATACAAATTGTATTTTAACATAAAAAAGTTAATAAGTTAATTTTCAATAATTACTTTTTATATAGTTAATTTCACAATTAAATTTATTATAATATTTTTTTTTAAAAATAAAATAATTTTATTTATAATTATACCAAACTTTTTATATAATTTATTATATAAAAATTTTGTTATAATTATATTTTTTTTTAACAATTTTATTAATAAAACTTAATAAAATTGAAATTTTTATCTTATATACAAGTTTTTATTAATAAAATTACACATATAATCATGTGATTTTATAATTTTGTTAGTTACTATATAATTACAAATATCTACAGTTATTCTAGTTTGCTTTTTTATTTATATATAAATATAGTAAAAAAATCACTTTATAATTATATCCTTTTTATAATTACCAAATTCTATTTTTTTAAGAATAATAATTATATTAATTATTTTTATTATATTTAACAATTTTAATTATTTAATTTAATTATTTATTATTTAATTATCTATATTTTTATTGGACAAATTTGAAATTATATGACTTTTTTATATAATTTTAATATATAATTTCTATATGTAACTCATATATATAATTTTATTATTTATTTTATAAACTCTTATGAATTCTTAATTTTATAATTTATTATTATAATTAATATCTTTTATTTTATTGGATTATTTTTATTATATAATATTATTTACATAATATTTTGATATTAATTAATATTTGTTGAAACTTGTTGAGACTTGTTAATATATATTATAATTGAAATATTATTGGAAAAATTAATTGAATTTATTATATCTTTTAGCTTGATCATTCTATTTTATAAAAATAATTCATAACTGATATATAATAATATAATCAAGAATAATTAGCCAATTAAATATAATAAAATTAATATATATATTATTGTTATTTTAGTTAAATTTTATTCTTTTTCAAATATATTACATGTTTTTTATATATATAATTCAAGTAAAAAAATATTTAAAATTAAATTAGAATAAAATCAAAATTTTTTATATAAAAAATAAATATATTTATATTTTTAATTATAGTTTATAGACAAGTAAGATATTAATTAATTATTTATTAAATTAATTAAGATAAATATAACTTTGTAATTAAGATAAAAGATTATATATAAAAATATAATTTCATAATTAAAATAAAAAATTATAAAATAAAATATAATAATTTTACAATTAAAATAAAAAATTATATAAAAATGCTAGTTATTTTAGCTAATAAAATTAATTTAAAAGAGAAATAAACAAATAATAAATTAATTACTTAATATTTATATGTTATATTTATAAATTAATTATAAAATAAAATAAATATTTGAATAATTATTAAACATTCTTTAAAATAATTATTAAAATAATTATTGAAAATAATCATTTAAATATTTGTTGAAATAATTATTTAAATATTTATTAAAATAATTATTTAAATAATTATTTTTTATTAAGTAACTAAAAATATTAAAATCCTAAAAATTAAAGATTTTATTTTGTAAACTTACAATTATTAGAATAAAATAAAAAAATAAAAAAAAATAAATTGAAATATTATTTAAGTTTATTTTTTCTAATTGGTTAAATAAGTCAATAATTCTTGCTTTAGTTCATTACTATTTTAATAACTAAGTTTTTTAATTGCACTTGATTTGAAATATTTATTGATTTTCTTATAATTTAAAAATTTTAAAAATTTTAAAAATAATTATAAATTCTTAAATCTATTAATACTTTTGCAATCATATTTTATAAAGAAATATTTTTTTGAAATAAATATTATACTTTGATATTTCTTTGTATAATAGTTAATTCAATAATCAAGTCTTTCAAAATTTTTCCAATTTCAAAGTAAATAATAATATTAATATATTGTTTAAAAACAAATAAATCAATATAAAATCATAAAGAACTTTTATTTAATAAGTATGTTAATAATGTTTTAGTTTGATTTAAGTTAATCATGATATGTATAATTTTGTTAAAAATTCTTAACTGATTAATTATATATTTTTTTGCAACTGCAGTTAATAAATATTTCTATTTATAATAACTTTTATTATCTAATAAAAATAATTAAATAAAAATCATTATTTCACATTATATTATATTTATATCTGTATTTAGAAATCAATTGGTTAAAAATTAACCAGTTAGAATCACTATTAATATAATTTTTGAATTCAATTAATAATATTTGATTATTATCTTTGTTATTTTTTATTACTATTTGTTTTCATATAATTATTAGTTGTTTCTTTATTTGTTAATGAAGTAGAAATAAAACAAGATCCATTTTAACCAATAATGAGTTAATATTTAGGACAATATTATTGAATTTTGTTATATAATTTCATAATTAATTATTAAATATTAAGAAGAAAAGTTTTCAAAATTATTAGAATAATTTAAAAGAAAATCTAATAAAAAAGAAAATTGATAAAAGAAAATTAATAAAAGAAAATTGATGATTTAATAAGTTTGTTTTTTTTTTAATTAGAAATTGTTTGAATTATAAAATTTTGAAAAAATAAAATTTTATAATAAATAAAAAAATTAAAATTTCAGAATGATTTGTAAGATTAGTATTGAAATGTGTTATCCATCAATTACTGTACCAGAACCAAGTCTACTTCAATAAGTTTCTGCTTTTATTTTCGATAATATTTTAACATGTAAAATTTTTTATTGAAAATCTTACTAATAAAGCAAGATCTTCAATATGTTTGAATTTTGGACAAACTGAATTGCGGGAATTTTTCGTATTACGGAATCAGCAACGATCACGTATAGAATATATATCAATAAAACGACTTATCATCTGGTGATATTACGTCAAGCAAAAACGGGGCTACTAAAGACAGAATTTTTGATCACCCCGGCAAAAATCCGACACAAGAAAATGAAAATGTTATATCAACTAACCCTAATTTTTAACGTTAACGTTAATTAACATTACCGTAGAATTTTCCGCGATGAATATTCGCGAAGTCATGTGATGCGCAAATGAAGTGAGATGATCGTATAAGTATTCATGTATTCATACACTTCTGATTTTTTTGGTAGAATTTGGTAGAAACTGACATCACAGTAAAGTATCACTATATTATTGTTTTCCGCTACCAAAGTCCAATCAATATACTCAATATACTACTACACCTGTTCTCTTTGCTAAACGTAATTTCGCGCTATATATATAAAATATATATTCAAAGAGTCGGTCTTTAAATAACGTTCATGTAAATTTTAATTTTCAGTCTCGAGAGCAAATAGAACAGGGAGTTTGTAAACACACATAACACGAAGAGAAAGAGTATTTGAATTGAATTGCAAGTAACTATTAGATGCCGCCGCCGCCGCCTCCATCAATGAGTCGCTCTATGGAAAAAAAAGTTGACAGACAACAACAGCAACCGTCAGAGAGTCAAATTTTGTCTTTGCCTGGAACGTCGGCGGCTGATTCTTCTGAAGTAGAATCAAAAGCTTTAGAAAATATTACTACTACTACGACTAATACTACTGCTACTACTACTACTAATAAGAAAGGCAAAGGAGTTCAATTGGGAGGAGGAAACGGAATGGCGGATTCTTCATTGATAGAAAAAAAAGAAAGTCAAAAAAAAAGTGAACCAAATGGTCACACCAAGTCTCAATTAACAAAGACAACAATAACGCCAGGAACAAAAGTCGGTGAAGGTGAAGTGAAAAGTGAACTCAATGGTACTTCAAAACTTAAACCACCAACTGACTCAATAATAACAAGTAATAACGAGAATCATATTACAGAAACCAATAAAAGTTTGTCAAAAGAAAAATCACAGCAAAAAGTGAACGGTAATATTACTATTATTACTACTTCTACTAATGATAATAACATTAGTAGTAGTAGTAGTTCTTCAGCTACAACAACTCCCATAGAAACGAAACCTGAGTTAGAAAATACATCAACAACAATAATATCGAAATCAGAATCAAAAATATCACCAGAAATATCTTCATTACCTTCTGATGATGTTGATGTTGTTTCTCCAATACCTCCATTACCATCAATCGCTGTCGAATCTGAATCACAAGCACAACCTCATCATCCTCCTTTCTCAGATGGAGTTAAAACTGGGAAGCGAAAGCGAACTAATTCGATGGATCAAGTAGAAATTACAGTAGAGGAAGTTGAACAAACAGCTGAAGACACTGGAAATGAAGAAGAAAATACTGCCTTGGCTGACGATGAAGCTGAAGGTTGGTATTAGTATGTTTTTTGTTTATTATTGCGCAAAATCTTATATAAATCGACAGGATTCATGAATGTTAAAAATTATTTACAATAAATCTGAAAAACTCAATAACAATCTAATATTTCTGTATCTGGGTGGTTATCGATGAAAAAAGCGGAAGCAAGTCCTAGTGATATAACACGACGTAGAGGAGCCGCTGCTACAGCTTCCAGTCCAAAAGCTGACCCAAGAGCTACAGAGGAATATCGGGCGATAGAAGAAAAATTTGAACAATTAATGACAAGGTGAGTCATTGTTCGCGCAAGTCTCAATTAGTCACTTTACCCTTCAAGTCGCTTAACCCATTCCAGTATGGACATTGATAGGCGTTGGGAAGAAAAGGCAAGAGAATTGGATAATGAGCGAGATTTAATAATAAAAGGTACGAAAAATAAATTACATCAATTTTATGATCTCATAAACACGAAAAAATTCATGAAATATATTTCAGAAATCATGTGATATGTTGGTTTTGTTATTTTCCCGATTTTCCATTCTCGGCCGACATTATGTTAATTCAGCTTAAATATTCTCTAATAGTGAATCAAAATCCAAAGACAAAATCATTAATAGATAACCTCATTGGTAAATTTGTTGGATGAATTTCTATTTAATAGAATGTTAATATTATACAACTGTTTATTCTTCGTCAATTATTCGCTCGATTCAATAATTGCTCAAAAAAAAAAAAAAAAGGAAAAACAATACTGTGTAATCTTAATATTAATAAAAGATAAAATAAATAGGCACCCATACTGGTTTCCGCACAGGTATGGATGAAATTGAAAAACGAAGGCGGCATCGACTAAATGTTGCAGAGGCACGAAAAAAGCAGTATGTAAAAAGTGCTCTTGATCAGATTAATTCAACAAATCATCGGGCAAATTGTGAGTTTCTGGTAAGTAAAAGAATTTGTTTGTGTTTTCATTTCCAAGTCATTAATCCTTTCGATTTATTACTTATTTATCACTGTTGCTTTATTAATAAAAAAAGTCAAAAAGAGTTGGATGGCGAAAAGCAAGATTAGCTGAAATAAGCAGCAGACGATGGAAATTACTAGAAGACAAGAAAAATCTGGATAATTATGCACGCTTAGGTCAGTCATTAAAAAAACACACACAATAAAAGTTTGTTGAGTTAAATAATTACTTGCAATCATTCAATGAGTCTTTCTTTTGTTTCATAATTTTCATTATCATAAAAATTAAATAATTTTATAATGTAGCAGTATATACGCTGCCTGATCGAAACCAGATTGTGCGTGCAAAGCAAATGAAGCTCATTAATATTCAAGAATTAACGGGTGTTCAAGAGAAATATGGATTTCCAGCTGATATCCTTTTTTTTACGTATTGGTTAATTAATCTATTGTGATAGAAAAGTTTGCATATATTTATATCAAAAAAAAAGAATTGTATTAATTAATACCTTAATCGAATCTTACCGCCTTGGATAGAACAGACACCTCAATCTGATTACGAGTCGGATTTACGGCAAATGGGGGTAAATAAATATAAAGTATAATAATGGATTCTTTTATTAGTATACAAGAGTTTTGTGCTGATAAAATAATTACTATTTGATATTTTCTCTTGAAAATACTATTATACTTTAGATTGGACTGGATGATGAAGTGTCAGGTCAGTAGTAGTAGTAGTGATAGTAATTGTTATTAGTATCATCAGCAATATCAATAAAATAAAAAAATAGCTTTAATTAATTAATCAGATATTTGATTGATTGGAATTCTTTATATTAAATATAACAATAATAATGCTGCAAACAATAGTAGTAGAAGGCGATACACCATCACCGGAATCATCACAAATAATGCTTGTTGACGAAGAAGAAGAATTAGAGGATGCAGACGAAGACGATTATCGAAGCAATGCCGACGAAACCAATAGTCATCATTATCACATCAGTAATTCTAGCAATAACCACAGTAGCAGTAATAACAATCATTATCACCACCAATTCAACTTCAGCAACAATAACGAAGATATCGGTAATATTAATAATATTCATAGCAACAGTAGTAATAACCACAATCACCATAATAACAATAACAATACCAACAACAATAATGATCATAATCATCAGTACCCTACGTCATCACAACCAGAAATTTTTTTTGAAGGAGATCGATTTTGTTTTCGCGGGAGTCGTTTCACCAAAGGAGATGCTGTTCTTATAATTGATAATCATTCTGGTCGGTATACTGCAAAGTTTATTATGGGAACTAAACATGAGGTATATCGACATTATATTATTGTCATCGTCACCGTCGAACTAATTTTACTTAATTATTATCAGGTGACAATACAACGAATGGATGGATCAAAAACCAGGATTCCAATGAGTCAATTAATAGACGGACGGTATCAGATGCATCTTAAGGAAACATAGTAATAAAAGTATAATATAAAAAAATTAATAGTAATAATAATTTATTAAAATAAAAAATAACACTAATCATATTAATTAATTAATTTTATTAATGATAGTTCTAATTATGCATATCTATATAGTTTTTTTTTTGTTTTTCTTATTGTTTGGAGGATGATCTTGGATCAGTGATGATGATGATGATGATGATGATGATGGATAACATGGACGATTTATTAATAAAGAGTAGTAGCTAGTAGAACATAATTCTTGTTATTGTGGTTGTTATTAGTGTATTCAAAATTTCTCTTTTTCTTTGATTTGTTTCCATTTCGTAGTAATAGTAGTTGTATATTCCTTTTCATCAAAATTTAATTAAATCCAATCCAATCAAATGCAATTAAATCAATTCAAAAATTTAATTTATCCGATCTCATAATATTGTTATTTCTAATTGTATTATTGGCAACGTCGAGGTCAACCAAAAAAATCATTTTTGTTTATTTTGTACAAAAATCATTTTATTTTATCCAAAAATTCGAGTAAATAGTATTTAAAAGAGAATCTACATCTTGACAGAGGTGACAATGTTTTTTAAGGCAGGTCTGACCGGGATTAAAGAATGATTATAATTAACGTATGGTATAGGCCGTAATCAAGTCGATTTTTGCTTCTGAAAAATCGATTATTAAGATCATGACTGAAGGATCGAGAAAGAGAAACAATACACCTGAAAAAACCCATACATACACAATAAAATCAAAATCTACAACAAATGATAATGGTGATCCTGTTCATTCAGTATTCGACCGCTGCCGTTTCTCTTCTCTACAAAATTTCGTCCAGCGAATTATAACTCGGTGACCGCCGTAATCGTTCGTGCAACTGAGAAGTATCTAATCCCAACATACCCCTCAATTTGACATTATAATAGAGAAATTGCGTCACAATGATAAAGTCCACCGTTAATTGTACAATCCCGCAGAGTATGAATTGGAGCGGGGATTTGGTGTAGATGTAGTAAAAGGTCTTGAATGAATCGCCGAAAAACCAAGAGATTAAGATAATTGGACTTTTTGTTGATTTTCAGTTCCAAGTTTTAAATGATTTTTGATTAATTGCTAATTCATCTATTGATTCCTTTAAACATGTGAAATAAATAATCGAGTTTGTTACCTGAATCCTGCAACTGTTTTCGATTGATGAATTTTCCATGCTTGTGGCATTGGAACTGTACTTTCAATGCCCAAAGCCTAACAGAATTAAATTGTAGCGAATTTTGGATATATAGGTAAACAATGATTCAGACTGAGCAGCAACGAAACCACAATAATGCAAAGAATAATATTTCAACTTACTAAATATCCCAAAACCTGAATAAACCAATTATGCTCTCCAAGAATCAAATAAAAAATCAGCAATACGCCATTCAGCACCCCCAAAAAGATAATGTATGACTTGTATGTGTACCAATTCCAAAACCATCGTCGATTTTGTACGGGCGATAAAGGATATCGATATTTTATGCACTCGTATAGGAGCACTAATTGTACTAAAATCATTAGTATGCTTTGATATAATAGTGTAATATCGAATCTTGCTCCAAACCTTTTTTTTATTTGAATTGAAATAGTTAATTAGCAATTTAATCAATCATTAGCTAAATCAATTATCGAATAAAACTCACCACCAAGCCAGACGAATAATACTAACATAAAATTCAATAAAATATTATTATTACATTATGTTTCCTTATCTTTTCATAATTACAATACTTATAACACTATATATACCTGCTAATTAACAACACTCCACAAGTATCTATAGAGAATCCTGCGCTTGACTTTAGATTACGAATAGTCGCAATTTGGTCAAAATATCCAACGACTGGACCCACGACCATTGATATTTTCAACAAAACATCAAACATTACGGCAAAATCAAAGGGTTCTTTGTCTTGTTCCATTATATATTATGTTTTTTTGTAAATTAAACCAAAAATGAGAATAAAAAATTTAAACTAGACCGCGAAAAATACACTCTATATATGTAGATAATATAATCTAAGAGCAATTTCTATTTACATTGATTCCCAATATGGGAAACTTTTAATAGGTCGGGATAATTAATAAAAAATTAGTCACTATCGCTATTGTATTATACATCGAGTTCCTCATTTGCCTTGATGAAGGTCAGTAGACGCATCGTTACTATATAGCACTAGGCACCTATGCCCATGTGGCTCTCCACATTCCTGTGGACAGGACGTTTCATCACTTGTTGTATTCTTCTTGTGCAACCAAGCTAAGGATTCTTGACCAGAATATCATTCGAGGTCATCTTTACAATGGTTGATCCTGTCTCAATTATATATAAAGATATCGAATCAACTCTCGAGTGTATGAAGAAGAAACTTCAATCAATCAAAACAATTTATTTCGTGCACAACAAAAAGCTCTCACCGATTTAAATACAGGATTTGCTTCAAAAAGAAGGTAAATAGGAATTACTAATAAGGATTTTCCACATATATTAACACTGTCAGTGATGGACTCTCATTTTAATATGTCATCATTACTGGTAATCTAAACATGTTGAATTGGATCTTGACAATGACGACATCGAAGCGATCCGCGTTATAAAATTGCCATTAACTATATTCAGAGAACTAAATCCTTTTGATTTGTTCATCAATAATGTTTTAATTTGTTCGTCAATAATGGACATTTCAGAAACATCTATACAAAATAATATATAATACCAAAAATAAAGATATTCTAAAAAATGTGTTTATAACAATAATACAATAACAATAAGGTTCTATCGCGTGCACAACGACTTAAATATCACACATCTTTTCACACTCTACATAGCTTCATTAATAATTTCAAAAGCTTTCTTGTAGACATCCAACATCGTCTGACACTTTTGTCGTTCACTTGCCAAACTTTCGTCTTCTTGTAAAAGATCGACAAATAAATCTTCTTTATATAATTCGGATACCAATCGATTTTGTACCGATTCACGTGAATTATTAACTAAAAGATGCATAATTGCTTTGGGCACAATATCTTGGATCGTTTTACGAACAATATGAAAGTAGGATGTAATTAGGGAACCTGTTTGAAAGCAAATATAATTAAAGTCTTGTTTGTCGATTTACAATTACCAAGTGTTGAAATGATACTCACGGATCAATTGAGTTTCCATCTCCTCTTGTTCAGTCAAGCTAGAATCTTCGGAGTACCCTCCCTAATTAAATTTTCAGCAGATTAAATTAATTAATTAATAGGTCATTAATTAATAATAAAGGGAATGATGAGCCTCTTCAATTTACATTCATATTGATTCCGGCCAATTGTCTTTCTAGTTCTCCAATATCTATACTGGATTTACTTGCACGATTTATTGGTTGATCTGGTAAAGCAGTCCTCTCCTGCTTGTTTCCACTTCCAAAGAAATACGTCAGAAAACCTTCACGTTGTGACCAACTTGCTGAATTATTTACCGGAGTGCTAGTACCATTTGATTGGGCAGCCAAATCCTTAGATGACGAAGCTTCCTTATACCCGTCAGATATTGTCAGCACATCAAGTGGATCATTTCCACTTGCGGGTCCATTTATCGACGGAGGATGATGTGTACTGATGCTAAGTGCGTTATTCGCCTAAATATCAAAATATGAAATTTTCCGATTAAGAAAAAGAAAGTTAATGGGAATTGTTACGAGTAGCATTTGCTCTTACCCTTCTGTTATTTTTTTCAATATCTTTTCGTCGACGTTCATTTCTCTTGACTAAGTCTGATATTGCTCCGCCGCCTCCAATAAAGTCAGGGTGGTTGGTGTTAATATAAGCTCGTTGAATAGCAATCAAGCTCTCAACATAATCTGAAGTAGGTGTTAATCTTTCCCGCAATAAATCAGAAACAACTTCGAGCAGTTTGTTATGCAAGCGAGGGTATTGATTCAGTTCCTATAAAGAAAAGGTAAATAGTTTATTGAGAGGATCAATTGAGGTTTTTCAATATTGATTGTATTATTGTTAATAATAATAATAATAATAATAATAATAATAATAATAATATTATTATTATTATTATTATTATTATTATTATTATTA